AACCGAACTGGCAAGGCTGAGGGACCGGTTAAAAACAAACCCCAACCCCACCCCCCCCAACACCAATCCAGAGAAATCAAAACCCGGACCTTCCCAAAGTGCAGTGCAAAGCAGCGAGCAACTACCAGCTTCTGGGGTTTTTTTCCTTCAAAACTGCCCCTGCGTGCTGAAGGAAGAACCCAGGGCCCGCTATTTCACTGCTCACCCCACACTGCTCCCGCAGCCCCCCCGGGGAAGCGGATTCTGCCCACCACCATGGCATGCAGCGAGTGAGAGTCGCCCCTCTCCTCGGTTATTTAAGCAGGGGATTAAAAAAAAAAAAATACAGAAAAGCAGCTTTATTTCTTCTTTCAAATATTACATGCACTTTCAAAAATTAAAACTCTTTATTTAAACATCTCAATAGCATCTTGTCAGTTTGGAGGCAGCAAGGAGCAACAGACATTTTGAAAAGCATTTACAAAAATACATTGCACAAAGTCCTATCTTGCTCTTTTAAAAATAAGTTAGTGTTATTCAAAATATTCCCACCCTGGCTACCTAATTTCAATTTACACAAGATAATTCTAATTTTAAATACGTAACCTATAGTGTGAAAAACTCCTGTACAGGTGTAGTCTAGCTCCTCTGCGTAGGCCATAGCTTCTGTCTCTAGCTCACGTGAAAAAAAAATAAAAATAATAAAAAGGTCTCCACGCAGAGACTTTTTTAAACCTTCGAGGACTGTTGTGCAACATACATAACTATTCAGAAAACCAGTCAGCAGTTCCATGAGTTAACAGTTCATGTGTAACTATAAAATACATTATAACAGCAAGATAAAAATACTGCATACGAGTACATTTCAGGAATCTTTTCTGAAAAGGATCTTCAAAAGTAGCAATCCTAAGGGGGGCAGTACACAGTTTCATCTCATTCTACATGGAAATGTCGCTTTTGAGAGCAAGGCATCACTAATCTGCTAATACCCGACTAAGGCTTCTGGGGATGACGCGGGAGCGCCCGTCTGTCGCCGTACGGCACTACTCGGCCAAGTCCCTCTTGTGAAGGCCAAGTAGTGAGCTTTGCTTCAGCCTTGTTTCCCCACATTCTGCGCTCTCACAGTACAGCGTTTCCCAAGTATAACCATGAACCAGCCTAAGGAATTACCGTCCCAACATCACTTTTGACAAATTAAGATGAATTGCTGTATGCTGTCATTTACTAAGCAATTTAGCAGGCTTATCAGCTCCGATCCATTTAGTCAGTACATCAAGGTCGATTTGGAGTTAACACTAAAGAACAAACTGACCAAGCTGCTATGGTAAAAACCCTTAAAATAACTTCAGTTACTCAAAGTTATCCCTGACTTTTAGAGCAATTCATGGCCACAAGTCACAGTAAAGCATTCTCAGTCGCTGGTGTTTAAACTAGTTTTGGTTGCATTAACTCTCCCTGACAGTAATATTTATTATATTCAACAAGTATCAAAGAAGCCCTTTTGGATCCACCAAAAAGGTCAAAGCCAAGGGTCAACAGAAGGACACCTTTAGCCACAGTCAGTGTTTAAAAGGTACCACAGTTTTTGGCTTATGGTGCCAAGCTAACAGAAGTAAGCAGTTAAGTCCCAGTTTAAAAAAAAAAAAAAAACAAAAACCAAAGCAAACCAAAAAAACCCAGATTCCTAGTTGCAGAAAGTGTGGTTTATTCTTTTAAAAAACCCTATACATTCATTTGTAATAAAATAGGTGTCACCTGTTTGCCAACTGAGCTTTATGAACCAGAGTAGTTTGCATGCATTGTTTCTCTCAGCATGGACTCAAAAATATAAAGCTAACTGGCAATTACAAGCTGAGCATTAGAGCAAATAAAAATTATTCATTATACAGTTCTGCTGACAGTCTTCTGCCTTTATCAGAGGATCACCAATAGTTCTGCAGTATTTCTCCTTCATCCTCGTCCTTTAAGGATTCCAGTGTTCTATGCTTTCCGGTATATACAAATTGAGAACGAAATGTACAACAACAAAAACAACCCAAGCTGTAGTGTAGAAGATTATTGGGCAGGTTTCCCATGCACTCTGAACCGATAAAGGCATGTATATTCCGCATGTCCCCAGTTAGAAAAAATTCTCAGTTCCACTATTTGGAATGCGTTGTCGCTTTTCTCCTGGAGAAGGAAAAAGCAGAGACAGACCAGAGTTAGGTTTCTAGCGCAAACAGGTGCAACTGCAGTTGCTTTCTTAGATTCCTGCAACTACCAACTTCTGTTCGTAACGAAGTCATGCCGTGGGAGCTTTCTGCCGCTTTGAACAGAACCTTCCTTGCCTTCCAACCAGTGTTTTGTGAAGCGAGTCAGAAGCAGCACGAAGCAGACTCTTCATATGTTTAGCATCTTCATACTATTGGTGTCCAGATGGAACAAACTTTTCCTCCCTTCTAATCTATTTAGACCACAGGTTTTGAAGCAGATAGGTGGATACTTTCTGCCTCAGTTTCTGTGGTGCCCAACCTCTGCTGGGCAGAGGCCTTTTTCCTTCACTGCTCATTGTGTGCTACCTCAGAAAATACGAGTGTCTTTCTCCTGACACTTCAAATCTTAATCCAGACTTACCATCACTGGAAACATCTGCAGTGGTTCTCCTCCTTGATCATAGACATACTGTCCTAGAAGCTCACCTTCTTCTTGATATTCATCATCTAGACCCTGTAACAACAGGATAAAGATTTTTGCTTTGTCAAATTTGAAATTGAACCAAAACCAGAAGCATGCCTCCATAACTGAGTATCAACAGACAGCATTCAGAAGTCTTATCAAACCAGGAGTTAAGTTCAGAGACAGACTTACATATACTGAAAAGTTCCTAGGAGCACTGGTGATATTTCCTGTTGGTGACAGTGTTTTTGGTATGTGTTCCACTGTAAAGGCAGTTGGGTAGATCTTCATTGAAAGTCTAACAACAAGGTACCCCTGTGATCCTCTGAATGCCCAGCAGTTTCCTGGATACATGTCCGGCTAGAGAGAACGGGCAGAGAACACAATGGGACACACCACCAAAAAAAACCAGCCACAGGCATTTTCTAACTTTTTTTTTTTGTAATGAAGAGTTGTAATAAATTCCAAATTATTAGGGACAGTCTTAGTAAGGGGCAGAATATAATCTATTTGGTAGAGCTCTTCAGGAAGGCAGCACATCCACCTGAACTACCTATTTCTCAACAGGAACCCTCCCAGTGCTCACACTTTGCACGAGTCCAATGTACCACCCAAGCCTCCCTTCAGGGTCTTAATTTTGGTAGAGTAGGACTTAAGCAGTGCCCAGGAGCTACTGGAAGAATCCCACTCTTGGGAACATGGGTCAAAGTACCCGTGCACCGCAATATACTACAGACAGCAACATCCAGCATCCAAAAAACAATCCAAACCACTCAAACACAAAATAACATTGCTGAATTTGTTTACTTAGCCTTTAATTACCTGAATCACTACTCTGGGAGACTGAGAGAAGTACCACAGAGGAATTCCAAAGAGGCTAATTAATGCTGTTTTGGTCTCATAGGTTTCAGAACAGCGAGTACTCAGAATGCTGCCACCTCAAAAGAGATGTATTGGGTTAGCAGACATAATTACTCATTTCTTCCTGAAGACTTTTCTTGCAGAAATTTGTACAAAAAGCTTAATGAATATACCAGTTATTTTCCTCATAAAAAGCTATTAACAATATTGTTAAAGTCCAATAACTGTCTGGGGATACAATGCTTCTATCAAGTACCATGCTATTTTAAGAACACGCTTAAAGTCTTTCATTTAAAAGGATTGAAAACCACACCTTTTTCCCTAGCGAGTTCAGTGGTGTGTACACCCCACACAAACAGATCGGTGGTTCTCCATTATCCAGTTGTACACACGCTTAGAACTATTGTATCATTCTCCATGCATACCTAGGCTGATATGAACACATATCTGGCTGTGAACAACACGCACAGATTGCAGGAGTCTGATGATCAAGCAACACAGAAGAATGCTCTACTAACCTTTAGTCTTCATTAAGATTTTGAGTAAATACTATAAATAACATGAATAGTGAAAATGGTGTTTCCTCCATTTACCTCCCGATTCCAAGGCGAAATCCACCATACCAGTCTTGTCTTGAGAGTAGAGTTTCAGTGCATTGTTTACAATAATTTGTGCTTGCTGCAGATGTACACATAGAAGAAGAGAATGGAAAGATTTTAGTAATATTAAGTGATAAAATAATCGATATAAGCACATCTGTGAAGCTGCAAGCATCTTTTTGAGACATTGCATTCCCATCACAAGTCTTTGAAAGCCTCTGCAAAGACAGAGGCCATTTTTAATGCATGGTTGTCAGTCTTAAAATACAAAATCATACAGCATAGTGACTGGTGTTTTCTTTGAAAGTTGCATTCTTTCCCTCACCTTCCCAAGACCCTGAGCTGCATTTCTTTGGTATACTTGTTTCATGGGAATTCTTCAATTTTCAAGATAGCATACTTTGAAAAAAACCACAAATGTTCACAACAGGCAACAAGCAATGCTGTAAGAACACACTTGATAAAGCATTTTCCGTAGCTCTCCCCATTTCAGTTAATGTTCCTGACTTCTCTTAAAACCATTAATATTTATACTGACAGTCGTGTTCCACAAAATGCCTATAAAAGGAGTCTTCACAGTTTTAGTTAAACTTCTGAGCACTTAAACTCACTCACCGCTTCTGTGATTCCAGAAATCCCTGCATTAGTCACAGCATTTGTTACTACTTCAGATGTTAGTTTTTGGTTTGTAACAGACATATGGAGAGTAATATTCTTGAGGATCTGCAACTCTAGATCCCGCAACAAAGTCTGCAGGTCACTTTTGCTCACAAAATTGGTCATAAGCCATTGGAGAAGCGATTCAGGGAAGTCTTCTTGTTGATCACCAAAAAGCATTAGCTTGACAGATTCTTTGACCTGGGCACCTACCTAGTAGAAGCCATTAACATTTATAATAGAAATTATTAGTCTTTATAAACCATTAAGTAATACTATTATATATAAAACAGGCACATGCGAAATCAATACAGACACTCAGTGCTACACAGAAGTCTAGCTTTCACACGTGTTTTAACTACACTGACTTACACTGGAACAACAGAACAGTCAGGTGTGCAGTAGAACACCTTGGAAATCTGGACGCTTCATCGGTTTGGTGAACAAGATGCACCAAACAAAGCCCTAGCAAACCAGGCAGTTTATGTTAGTGGTCTGACAAACAGTTCAGAACAAAAAAAAAGTTGACTGCAACAGTTCAAAGACAGCACTGTAGCAACTGTAAGGGGAGCAACTGTACTTGTTAAGCAACTTCTTAATCACTCACTTATGGTAAGCTTTGATTTCATACACAATAGCTAGATAATGTTTGAGCATTATCACAAGATCATATTTTAGTCAAAGTTGATAAACCCGTGCCATTATTTACTGTTGCATTTTGTTGGCTACATTCTAGTCAGACCTTATAAAACGCTTCAAAAGAATTTAAGTGTGATTTTTTAAAATAACTCTCAAATAACAAACTTAACTTGTTTTTATGCAAGTTTATTTTCCACACTTCCATGGGCTGGCAAAACACACCAGTAAGAACAGCAAAGTATTGTGTACAGAACTGCTGTTGCATCGTATCTTAAATGCAAAAAACCCTGGCATTGTAGAAAACAAGCCATAAACTCTTGTCTAGTAAAGTGTTACACACTAAGGGAAAAATGCACAGTGTCACTACATAAAACGCTACCATTTGTTAAGATGGATACTACCCCCATGTTACTTACTGCAGTGCATTTCAAGGAAGTTAGTGAACAAAATCAAGTAAGACCAAGTTTTACTGTGACAGTTACAGAACTTACTTTCTCATGAATGACGTCTATTTTCTCACAACTCATTTTCACACTTTCCCCAGCTAACAGCTCCGATTTCATCCGAGACAACTCTAGTTCTAGCATTTTAACTTTAGACAGAAGTTGACTATGTTCATCATCATCTCTGACAAAAACAAGGAATCAATAATTAGGACAGAGTAGTTTGAAACATTCCATCAAATTCCAACGGTGTATTAGACAAATACGTCCTCACAAAGTGTTTTCCTAGTTCAGTATTCACCATGATAGACATTGGGAGCTTGCAGTTCCTTGAAGATGTTATTTAAGGCACACTTAGGATTAATATATTCAAAGCAAAGTATTTTGAAGTTGCGAACAAATCCAGCAGTGATGACTTTAGAACATTACCAGGCTGACAAGTTAATAACTCAAACATATGTAGATTTTGGGGAATGTAATGTTTCTGTAAAACCAGTCAAACTTTACATGAGTTTGCCATTGGTTAGAACTAGTTTTAGGTTACCTACTTAAACGAGAATAACTTTAGAGGCTGGTGTCAAGTTGAGCTTAAGTAGCAGGTCACACGTGACCAATATAGATCAGTGTTCAGGGCATGCTATGGGAAAAAGTATCAGCCATCATTCTAAAGCCATTTTACATTTAAATCTAATTTAAATGACAATTCAGTAAATAATTGTCTTTTCCTTTTCCCAATGGGGAAACTATCTAATGAAGTGCTGCAGTTTTTATGCCAGTATTACACAGTACACGAGTGGGAAGTAGCACAGCTGAGAAATCAAAAACAGAGATGAAGGTTAGAATTGATACAACTCAAGAATTTAAATATAAAGCCTATCAAAAGCACTTATTGTATACTTCTCTAAGCAATTTAAGGAAAAATTCTAATCCATTTATAAAAGGATGAGAAGTCACTCATTCTTCTCCACTACATAAAGTTTTCTCTGTTAAAAAAAATGTAGTTGTACGATTGCTCACACACTGGCAGTGGGCCTTGTGCTGATGTTCAGCATTGCAGGTGAAGCCTACTTAAGACAGAAGTACTCTTGCTGACAAGGCAAATTCTTAAGGTCAGTTAACTCACACAAAGAGAAGTATTGTTGTATTTCAAAGAAGAACACATATCACCAAGATTGAAAAAGCAAAATATATTTGAAAAGTGCTTATACCTCACTGTTTTTGCTTTGGCTATGTCAAGCTCCTTCTGGATGTCCTAAAAAAATACAAGAGTTAGTTTTAACATAGAAAAAGAAACACAAGTGACAGAAAGATTATAAAGAATGGTAAATGAAAATGACAGATTTTAGCACCACCTATACAGGACCACGTCCCCATACTTCTGTTTGTGGCCTCTGTATAATAAGATTTTATTCCAAATAGAATCTGCCTCACTGGTCAAGGGAATAATTTTTAATCTTTGCACTGAAACCCCCTCCAAGAAGGGGGAGCAAGAACACAAACTAGTTTTGAGACTTAAACAACTGTAATAGCTGGAGTAAAGCAAACTGGGTTTTGGGATAGCCAACAAAAAGCTTAGTCTAGTTTATCAACGGGTTACCATTACAGCGAGTTAGCAAAGCTAACTTTCAATACCTTGGATTCAGAAGAGAGTTTTCCAAGAAGGTCTTCCAGCGTCAGGATGCGCAACTCATGTTCTTTATGTAAAGCCAGGAAGTCAGGCTTAAAGAACAGGGAAGAAAGAGATGGTGCATTTTCTCTTGGAGTACAAGCAGCGCAACTGATATTTTCTACAAAGCATAATTTTTATTTCATTCTGCGAGTGCTTAAGTGATTTATCCTGCAGGTAGTGTGAGAAATTATAAAATCTGTAATTAAAATAGAGGCCTGATTCAGCAGTAGTAGGGCTTATACACAGGCAAGTTTACCACAAAATCCCTTCTTTGTCACTAGTCCTTCCTACGGTTTTCTTTCTATATATGAAAACAGGATAAATCCAGCTGCTTTTCAGCAATGTAAGATTCTGCTTTAGACCACCCATCTGGAATTAATTTTTTGTCAGCAACAAAGGAGGAACAAATGCCAATGACAACTCCCTGGCATTTAGTACCTATCAGTAAGTTCTGTAACAGAAGAATCCTAAATCGCTAATAATCTGCATTATTAAAACAGAATGCTTTGATCAGTAACAGAAAGCATCAATAACTGACTCTTACCCTTTCCTCCAGTTTCATATCTTTAAGATGTTGACCTATCACATTTTTTATTAGCTTCAATGTTTCACTTTTGTCACTCATCTGGGCAACCTGATCTTGAAGATTACGAAGTAGAAGCATCACTTTGCTATATTCTTCATCATGGTGATGGCATCTGTCAGACATGAAGGCCATTTGCTTTTCCAGCTCTCTTATACGACCAGAATCAAAGATGCTTATTGTATCCTAAGGTATAAAATTTTTTTTTTTAATGTATAAAACCCAAGACATTTATTTACATTACCTTTGTAATTATTGCCAAATTTTGAAGACATGGGAATTAAGAAGTCGTAAAAGATATGAAAGTTCTTCCCTAGACTGTTCTCCCTTACCTTTGGAGGTTGCACAGAGTGAAAAGAATCAGCTTGTGGTTCAGGAACACGAAGAGTCTCATCTATTCGCTGTATTCTATCAGTTCTTGTCCAGTTCAATGAAGGTAATAATGAAATGAAGCCATCAAACCCCCAGAACCATATACCTAGATCAGAAACAGAAAGCTTAAATCTACTAATAGTTTTCTTAAGGATACAAGCCACTTTAAGTTTGCAAGGTAGATGTCACACAGTGGACATTAATCCAGTCCAAATAAAAATCAGCATGAGCCAGCTTTAAAATTATTAAGTCAAGCACTCAAAAATATTAGGGAACATCCATCAGTTCCACTCACACAGCTACAAGGCCGGCAACTTGCGCTTACATGTATCACAATATATCCTTAATCTCATACTACTGCTTCCCTAGGACCTAGATCTCATTTACTGATTAAGACAGGCCATGCTCACTGAAGGCAGATGTAAATACTGCTCTTTATCTCAATGGAAAATACCTTGCCTTATATCCTACTTACTACATACCACATTGCATAATAACTAATAGAAGTTGGAGGAAACTTAGGCTTCCATGGAAACAACCTAGCATTTCAAAGATTACACTTATTTTTGCAATACCTTATCAGGAAGGAGCAGCATTTTCTACCTGGGGCAACTTCTTCCTTTCTTATTCTCCCTAGTACAGAAGACTTTGAATCCCCAGTGTTAAGTTTCTGAGAAGTTTCATCTTCTCTACAAAATAGCTACAAGTTTTTTTAGGACATGTGAAGACATGAAACTGCTTTTCAGAAATGGCCCAGCACTTCCAGTAGGTATTTTAAACTGGCTTTGTTTATTTCAAATTAGACAGCTGGCCTGGAACTAACCAGTCCAGAGAGCAGTATTTTAAGCAACTAATACATGGGCTTGAGCAAAGGAAAGATTTAGGATAAGTTGGTAAAAGAACTTAAACCGCACTTGACAACAATCAAAGCAATCAGTACACAGCTTACTCTTTATGAGCTCACTGCTGTTCCTATGGAAAGGAAAAAAACTAAATGCACTGAAGTCCTTTTTCTTACTCACGTACTCTCTCCGTCTAAAGAGCTCTATGAAATTAAATGAAGGGTATTCTTTTCACGGGAAGGGGAAAGCTCACTGACTTCTCAGTGCTTTGAAAGCTTGAAATACTGCCGCATTCACAAACTCACTTTTTTTTGCTTCTGCATCTTCTTCATAAACCAAAAGTTCAACTAAAATGCTATTTTGGAACAGCTGTAGTAAGCATACACCAATTTATAACTAAATGATTCACATACCCAGTAGAAACAGGAGTGGGATAAGAAACAGTAATAGCTTGTAGATCTTCGGAAGGCATCTAGAGAAGAGAGAAGAAAGTTTACAAGAAATGACAGATGTATCATTTTATTGTTTTCTATCATAACTGGGTAAATGATTTGCTCACAAAACAATTTTTTCAAAGGATACACACCTTCTAAGAAGAAACACCTTGAGCAAAGACATCAGAGTAACAAGTTGATACCACCCAGTTCTAAGCAACCTGAACATGCCAGAAGCTGCCCTCCCTAAAAGACAAAAAGTGGTAGTGTGAAACGTAATTACTGCAGCACATGTTCAAAGAAACCAAGCATAGGGACATGCAACTGCGGCCAAGAATACTTTGCACAGCAGAGAAATGCATGAGTACAGGCAGCGCGTGCAGCTTATTGACATCTAGATATCACAAGTATGACAGCATTATAGCATCAGCTACTCAACAAAACCAATAGTCATGCAAAAAGATTAAATGCTCATTTGTTGTAACATTGTTATCTTGCCAGAAATTCAATATTAATGCTTGAATCCAAGTTACCACGCACTGAAGGCCACAGTGTGTTTCAAGAAACGCACAGATTAGCAGCATCAGTTTTTGCTAAGAAAATACCATGATAGGAAGCAACTACCAAACCAAACACACCCCATTATTCTTGACACCCCAACATTTTGCGCTATTCACACACTCATTCCCTCATGAAACACTCTGGTTAGTCTTCCACTAAGCCGGTGAACAGAAATATACCCTCTCATTAAGCATAGTGTGGTCAATAAAGAAAGAGTAGCACATGCATTTCAAGATACAAAAGCTACAGCATAAGCATAGTGGAATTAGTGTAAGCCACGTACAGCAGATTCCTAGTTTGTCAGAAGGAACAGGCAATGCACACACACGCGGATTAGGATAGTAACCTGGAGAAAGAATGGCCAGCCAAAGTAGAGACAACACCTTCTGAGACACAAGCCATCCCGTTGCTCCCACTGTTCGCAACATGTGAAGCATAAAGTAACCTAGATTATAACAAAATTAACTCTATGTGGTAACATACATAAGTGAGCTTAAGGTTCTCCTGCAATACATGCAGTAAACCAAGACCCAATCCCCTGCCCATTACATGTTCTGCATAATTTTAAACCATACCTTTCAGTAATCTAAAAACTTTGTTCTTCACTACTTAAAAGCAAAGCAAACCAGTAATAAATATGAAACCAAGTAAAACCAAGACAATTTAGAAACAGAATCCTCACATATAAACAGAATTATCAACAGCATCTGCGCAGTTAGAATATCATTTCTCAAAAAAAAGGACATGAATTTTACATTTTTGTAGCGCGGTTATTTAACAATGCCATGCTAAGTATAACAGAGAATTGCAAAAGAAGTACTACCATAAAAACAAGTTTTAAGCACATCATTACTTTAAAAGCATCTTATTTGTTCCAAAGAGGGAACAATTAAAAATTGTAAATCCCAGTGAAAGAACTAAAAAATGATGTCTAAAGAAATAGTGATAAATAAGAGAAAGTATTCCCTACTAAAAGTTACAAGCAGTAAATTTTCATTAAATTGAATGTTCCCAAGGATCTTCAGTATGTCAGTTTTGAGCCTCTTAAAGCCAAACCAAAACCAACAACAAAAAAACAACTCACTGTAACAAAATGCTGTAACTTAAAGCCCACTGACACCAACAGTTATTATATCAGACTAAGACTGTTTGCGCTACAGAACAAACTACATAGTATGCATTTAGAAAATAATCCTATATTTTTAGATTAGCAGATATGCCTGGGTTAATCTGAGGGATTATAGATATACCAACCCAATATTTTGCAAAGCATTTAGGTGACTGGAATGTCTCAAATCATTTTCCTTTGCTGAATAAAGAGCACTCAACAGATCCTTGATGCCTCTGTCATTCAAGCTAGGGAATGCTCATCTCACAGGGAAGATTCTATCCCTATATAAGGTTCCTGTAAAAATTGACTATCACTAGAACAAAAATAAAATGTTAAAAACCCTTTATTCAAATAATCTGCATACCAATACCTCATATCTTGCTTTCATTTAAAGGCAGCTTTTCAACCTATCGAGCATACAGACTTCCCCAAAGCGCAATAAATTAACAATCTGACTTGTTCTTTCTAACATACAAGGTGTATCCTGTCCCTACACCTTGCTTTTACTAATAGGTAAGCAGTCTGCCAAGCTTGTACAGAAGCCAGTATCAGAGCAAGAAGCCAAACAGGAAATGTGTTAAGTCAATTTTCTAGACATACTACACTTTTAATCTACTTTGATAGATTAAGGTTAAAAAAACAAACACAAACCAATATCTATGATTAACATTGTGAGATTGCAATGCAAAATAAAAGCAAAAGAAAAAAAGGTCCAAGTCAACCTGCATAAGAAAAGGTGTGCCAAATGGTCCTTGCTACCCTTTTAGCCCATGAGGATTGCATGTGGTCTGTGGTGTGTATTTCAAGGTGTTTCTTCCCCTTACAGTCATCACCTGTTGATTGTGGTAACAGTCGATTAATGGGACAAAGCCAGGATCAAATCATTACAAGATAACTTGAACAAGTCTATTTTGTCATATCAGTTGTCAAACCAGAAACCACTAAGCAAACTTCAGTGGAATAAAACTTCCTTGGGGAAATATTGCAGCACACCAGGCAATCACTGTTCTCACCCCTACAACTAAATTGCAAAACAAACGTTTACTTCGTAGCTTCCATAGTCATGGGGCAGCTGCTATTACTATTACAGCAACAACCCGGTGTACAGCCCAAGGCTAAAAGACAACATCAATCATTATACTTACATATTGATTCCTCATTTGCACCCAGATGGCTATCTTCTCTGTAAAACTCCTTTACATTCATGCTTCCACAGTAGTCTGAGTGAGCTGCACCACATTCAAAAAGCATACACGGAATGTAACTCTCAAGTTCAAAGCCTTTCATATACGAACATTTTAGCTAAACTACCTTAGTACACTGTTAGAGCCAGGTTACCCACCAGAAGCCTAAAAAACTGTCAAGGAAGAAGCCTACTCTGTACAATCTTATTTTTTCTTCTTTAAGTAAGAGAGGACCTTTTGGTTCAAAAAAAAAAAAAATCTTAAGTAACAACTCATCAAATCTTGAGTCTTTATTCCCACCATTCTGTCAAATGGGCACACCCTTGCATCTTTGTGTTGATTTTATCAGAGATCTTAAGACTGAGAAGAGAGCATTAGCAAGTTAAAAGGCACTGAGGCACAGAGAATGGGAAAGAACAAATTTTTATTCACACACAAAAATCAGTTACCTTCTGCCTATGGCAATTTAACTTCATTCTAATTCACTCTAGATCATGTATTATAGAAGAGAAAGCACCAAAGAATCAAACTTTTTCAAGGAAAACAAGATGTGCTTTAGAGTAGCACAGAGTGATGACAGCAGCTTTGCAAGACAGACCTAAATCAAGCTTTAAGTGCACAGTGGGCTTAAGGCTAAACAAGATAGTCCAAACCTAAAGAGATTGAAAAGTTAGGATTTGACACTATCGCACCAAACAGTTCTTAAAAATTAACTTAAGCTTCTCAATTTAAACATTGCCTTCATCACTTCCTAGTAAAAAATCAACATGTGAGTCTTAACTGTACCACAGATCTCACTTACATGAATCCCGATACTTCCAAAACACAGGGAAAGTGTGAGAAAGGTAGCACAACTGAGTGAATTAAATAATAGCAATAAAGGGAGAAAGACAGGAGGCAGCCAAAAGACTATAGAAAAAGAACACCATAGTGACAAAGATGAAGCCCATAAGGAAAAAAGAACCCCCACCACACACGCTGGCTTTGTGTGGAGACCAAGGAAGACAACTGAAAAGGTACCTTTAAATTCATAACCCAGCTTCAGCAAAACCATTTGAAATAGTTGCACTAATAGTGACGCAAAAGATGCTGCAGCATGTCTGACCAATCGCAGAATCTTACTCACGTAGAAATAGGTTCCTCCTATTGAAAAAAACAGTGTGAATACAAATTATTCACCTATATAAAGATGTACTTCTATTCTCTGGTGACCATTAGCTTGTGGAAAAGTGAGGACAAAGCACAGAAAGCCTTTGTTTAGCCAGGAGTGAACTTAAGCAAGTGTAGTTTGAAAAGTCTGGATTCATTAGATATTACAGCAAAGCTTTTGTAAGAACTATACATCCTATGGAAAACACCTCCAAGACAGAATGTATGGCTTCAGCAAGAACACCTTTTGCTTAGTGAGAATTAAGAACTCTAAATAGCAATGAATTCCTTGCTTACAGAACTCAGGATTTCTCAATGATGTGAGCTGTTGATACTGACTGTGGGTTACAGCTCCAAAGAAACAAACTACGTTCTTATTTTGGATTTGAAAGGGTGAGGACTTTTCACCTTCTCCACCTTTACATTGGAGGAAGTACTACAGTGGTCTGCCTCAAGTGCCAGAGACACACACTTCTTAAGAGCCACTGGAACAAAGCGGCAGTCCCCCACACTGCTGCTTTCCTACAATCAGCCACATTCCAAAAACCTGCCATGTTTGTGTGCCCCATTTCCTGCCCCCTGCTCCAAGTTTAACCCAAACCACTGGATTAAAGTTCAAAAGACTGTACAAAGATTAGTTCCTTGTAAAATTCTCCTACACAAATACAAACTCGGGAGCACAGAAAACAGGTTTCATACAGTGTCATCAAGTGGTTCATTATGCCAAGCTGAAACAATTCCTACCTGTGCTACATGTTAACCAGAAAGAAATACTTGCCTTAAAGCATTTAAAGTCACACCTTATAGTCTAAACAAACTAATTTCTTGCTATTGAAAACATACTTCATCCAAGCACAACACACCTACAGAATCCCAAAATTGGTTCCTTTCTAATTCAAGGCCACTCAAGAAACAACTTCTTCGTGGTAACCGAGGACTACCAACAATCAAGAAATTCAAGATGCTATGCAAGAGGCAGGCAGACACAGTCAAGACACTGAGGACAACCATCCATAGAATGGAGATTGCCTTGGAAAAGCAGAACATTATTTACAGCAGATTCATTTGGATTTGAGCTTTAAGAACGTAGTCACTAAAAAAAATCTATTTGGAATCACTTTTTTTTGCCCTTGGAGTTCTATTTTTCAAGTAGTTGAGGTTTAGCTTCTAAAAGCACTGTAATAAGCTGCAAGGTTCAATGAGGAGAAAAAAAGCAGGAAGTAGAAAGGTATCTTTCAGATTCCCTGGATAGCAGAAGCACTGCAAAGTAACAATTCTGCTCCATCTTGAAAGTTCAAATCATGTAAAGGGGGGTGGGGTGGCGTGGGTGTGGTGGAAAAAGCCACCTTCATAGAAGAAGTTTTGTAGACAGACAAAAACTTTGTAGACAGACACACAGATTCAATGCCGGATTAGAAGACTCTTACAATCAGCGCTGGTTGGAACTGCCCACTGTGTTCCAATCAGTCTGGAAACGTAACTTGTTAAGATACCACAGCATTTTCATTTTGAAATTGTTTAATTCCTCCAGCAGCATTGAAAAAAGTTGGTAATTACAGATAAAATACAAGAGAAAGTAACTTACTGGATGCATGTTTCTGGCTCCTATCCCTAGAGTAAATTCTGGAAGATGGCACATGAGAAGCTGAGTATGCTGTAAGAACCTCCTTCCGTTCAGAAAGCATGCTGCAGTCACTGCAAGCGTAGCCATTGATCATTGGGGTCTGCATTTCTGCTGCTGCTGTATCACCATTTCCCTGCATCAGTGTAGTATCAGTACCTAGCAAACCAAGAGTAAAACATTCAGTGCATTGACATCAGTATTACTGTCGCTCATTACCATTAAATAGAATGCATGTAGAATGAAAAGGAAAGCGTAGTTACCTTTAGGGTCACCTTCATCAAGACCTTCAAAGGAAAAAGAAAAAATTTGGTCCCAAATATAAGGAAGTCCCATAATCAAGTATGATATCTGACACGAACTCAAATTAAAAGTCCCACTAATTTTAAGACTGCAAAGAAAAGCCACTTTATGATTAGTATTTAACATATTTTGCAGTCTATCACATGCATAGATCCATATATTCAGACATTAAGGGTAACAGTGAAAAGCATTCTACCACAGAAGCAGCAAACAAAATAATATGAGTGACAGCTACACCTTTTCTTAGCTCCCATGTGACTTTAAAGCAGCTAATTACAAGCTTATGCTGTTTCTGTTGCTTGGTAACTACTTTGGTACTACTGCACTTTAAGATCCTGCTTTAAGAGCCAGGTAACCTGAAGTTTAGAACGCGTTCTACCAAGACTGAAACAATTCTTTACACTAGGACTCTGGGATGGTCACAAGCATATCGACTAGAAATGAATAGTCTGAATTGGGAGATATAATAAGTTGTTGATCTCCTACACAAGTCTTTTTGTAGACAACTCCCATACTCTCCTCTTCAATGAAAAAGTAGGTTTCAGAAAAGTATGCTTGTCTATACTTGCAAAACCAAACCAGCCAGCCACACACAAAAGCCCTCTCGGGAAATCCTGAAGTGCCACTAATTTGAAACTTTCGGGTTAAGGTATGTTAAGTTGAAACACACTTCTGCCTATAAGCAAACAAGAAAATGCTTTCCTTTGGCTTTTCAAAGACAGGTTACATGTTTAGCATTCTTTAAGTACAGTACTCTATGCACATTTTGAAGAAAGTAATGATGAGATAATTACATCCATACAATCTATGGTCTTGCATTATAAAATTATATATGTTTGCTTGGCATATTAACTTGACTGTGCAACACATCCTGATGTTGACTATGCCAGTAAGTCAAGTTTACACACTGGATTGTAAATTTTCAGCGGGGATCTTAGCAGACATCTACAGCAAAAGTATAAGTACATGCACACGTTTGGGGGTAGGATGGAAAAATGGGTGGGGAAAACAAGGAAGATTTGAATGTACGTTTATACACACCAAATCAAAAGCAGTTTTCACAGTTTGATACAAGCAATAGCAATTGTTGCCTACCCCAGAAGTGATCAACTTCCGTCTGCTCTCGAATTAAAGATTCATCCAATACAGTGGATACCATTGATGCATCGCTGGCATGGCTATTGAAACTGCTTTGGCTAAAAATGGAAGAGCTGGACAGATTTTTCCTTGGTGTGTGTCTTACACTGCCAGATTGTTTATTCATACTTTTGCGTTGCTTCACCATGCTAGGAAACAAAGCAAAGACAAGTAAGACATAGTACTAAAGATGGAAATTTCTTTTGCTCCCTCATTAGATGAATAAACAGTCAAGGTATTTTGACACTGATGTGACTAGACAGAATAAATCAGGTTTAAAATAAAATCCTCACCTTGAAGCATCTATACTTTTAGAAATACTTCATTGCAAACCACATACTGAACATAATTTCCAAAGTATGGCAGTAACCACTAAGAACAAGGAATAAAGCAGTAGGTAACTTATGTTTATATTATTGTGTTCAAACAGGAAGTCTCAAGACTCCAACCAATAAACTAACTTGTGATAATAAAAATGCTTACTTAGAAGACTGTTCTCTGAAGGACATGTTTCCGGCGTAAGAGCTGTCATGAAGCATATCCCTTCGTGCATCATCTGATTTACTAGATCCTGCAGCAGCTAACCGTAAACTACGCCGTGACATTCTTGGTGAATCAAATACTGGATCTATTTTGTTTTCAGTCTCAAAATCCAAAGCAGATGAAGAATAACTTGAACTGCAGCAAAACAAAAACAGCAAAGTTACTGGGTTTAAGAGAAAATTTCCCTAGTAACAAACATGCCCTTCAAGCTAGTCTAAGTTTCCATTAAAAGCAGTGTATCTGAGGTTATGGAGCAATTCCCACAAGATATGCCATATAACCCAAATAATTTAGAAATATGTAGATATTCAAGGTTCTCTTAAGCAATTCATATTGAAAGTTTAACAACTGAAAACAAATCACAGTTAGGAAGAAACAACCACCATGGAAAGCATGAGCAAGCATTCATTATACAGCCTAGTTCTTTTGGGACCAATTTGAGAGAGGAAGCCATTCATGACAGTTTCTTCACCACGCCTAGCAGCAAATTTAAAATCATGATGCACTCTAAGTTGCAAGCTAAAGATTCATTTTTTGTTAATGTTTATTTTTTGTTTGCTAGTTCCTTGTTTTGAAAACCAAAGCTCCATAACCACGCTACTCTGAATTTCCATCTCCCAACAAGTAGAAACTTCCCCCCTTAAGATACTTAAAAAAAAAGACATCCCTACTTTACCTACATTAGTTTAACTACCATTACTTTAAAAAAAGTGGTTTTAACAGATTTCTTAATTTAATGCAAATCATTAGAAATGTTTAACTGAACAAATAAAAATATTTAGTCTTTCATCAGTTTTTCTCTGTTTTATCCTATAGAGGCAAGTTTACATACATGTAGACAAACTTTGCGTCGTTACCCCAGGAACTCTACTCCACAGTTTTATGCTTGATTCTTTCAGAACACCCATGAAAACTTACAATGAAGACAAAGCAGCAACACAAGGCAAACTCAAACAGATTAAACAGAGGAGATGGTAAGAAACACATTTACTAAAACAGCCGTTTAGCCTAAAGCAGAATACTCATACTTCCAATCAAAGGCAACATTCAGTCATGTAACTGAGCAGAGCTTGTTGTTACAGAGCATGGCACAGCAGGAGGCCAGGTCCTAAAACCACTCAGCACTGTGACCCAAAGCATCAAAAGGCTAAGTGCTCTAGGCCAGCTTTCCTACAGCCTGTTCCTTCTTGGACCACAGGGATATACAGAGCTGTAACAGCAGTTACTTCAATATTCCTGGGGATTTTGTTTGTTTTTTAAAAGAGCTGAGCAAAGTATTGTTAACTAAAGCAGCTCCTTCTCCCCAGAAACCCAAACAAAAACAAGCAAACAAATTAGACCTGAATGAGTAGATTCTACTGTGAAATCTGTATTTGAAATTGAAGCTTTCCCTTTAGAAAATACATATAAACAGCTACTATAAAAAGTATTTGTGCAAAAATACTTTAATGGAAATACTTTCCTTATGCAATCATTCAAGACTGCAGAATATTACAAAGTAATAATATGACATGTATTGTAGAATCATAGGATCGTTTAGGTTGGAAAAGACCCTTAAGATCATCAAGTCCAACCATTAACACTGCCAAGTCCACCATGTACCTAAGTACCACACCTAGATGTCTTTTAAATACCTCCAGGGATGGGGACTCCACCACTTCCCTGGGCAGCCTGTTCCAAGTCTTGGCAACCCTTCCGGTGCAGAAATTTTTCTTAATATTCCACCTAAACCTCTCCTGGCGCAACTTGAGGCCCCTTCCTATCACCCTATTGCTTGTTACTTGGCAGAAGAGACCAACACCCACCTCGCTACAACCTCCTTTCAGGCAGTTGTAGAGCATGACAAGGTCTCCCCAAGCCTCCTTGTATTACTTTGGCACACAAATAAGTTAACATCAGAAAGCCTAGTAGCTACACTTACAATAATGATTTAATTGTGACAAGGTGGGTGCTTTAGAAGCAAGTTTCTTAATTGCTCCATAATGCAAAGTAAAGCACGTAAGATGGGACTGTGTGAGAGCACACGAACTACATTTCTTCCAGCTAAAAAAAAAAAAAAAACACAAACAAACCCCTAATCAGACAATGCACTGCAGGAAAACATCTAGTTGCTCCAGCAGCAAATGGGCAATCAACCTACAGGACCAGACCAGAGCTTGTTCAAAATAACTTCTCCGATCACCCAGAGGCACACAGATCTGATGGCAGGTCTTTGGCAGCACCTGCTTGATCTCCTTGGTCTCCAACATGCAGTGCAACCCTGTGCAAGCCAGAAGTCTAAGCGCAGCTTAAGACAAAGCCAGTACACATTACAATATACATTATGCTTATTAATCCTGAATTACATTTGAGTGGAAGGGGGAGAGGAAATAAGACAGGAGCTCCTCATGTGAAAACAGATTTAGTCTACATTTGATTAGGTACAAAAGGATACAATTTTTAGTTTTCAAAAATATTGTTTAGACAGCTTGCATTCTGACAGATGTGAAGTGAGAATATGTGCTTAACACAGCTCTTCCTGTTGTTCATTCTGAAAGGGTCACAGCCACAACAGTTTACTATTGAGTCCCTCCCTAAACAGTTGTTTCAGAACTCAGTTTTGCTATTTACACTTGCCACTATGCATTTGCTTTTTCTCTTCACCCAATGTTTCTTACAGATATTCAATTCACAAGAACACAAAGTACACAGGACAAGCTGACAGCTGTGACCAGCCTCAATTTGTTTCTGTTTATGAACACTTGCTGTTACTAAGTATCTCAGTGAGCAGTTCTATCAATAGGGGTTGAATACAGAGTTTGGAATTGGGTTCTACTATCTAAAAAAAAAAAAAAATCATAGGATCTTTTCCTCTTTAAACAAAGAGAGCTTCTCCCTTGCTTATGCAGGATAATACTGCTCTTCACAATGAAAGTGAGGAGAATTATCCATCCTCTGTCAGCAGTACAGTATCTAGAAGTCTCCTAGCTTGCCATCTTGCTTTCCATGCTTCGGAAAGCAGCCTTTTTTCTTCTAGAGAGAAGACTACAGGAAACAAAAACCCCTGTCTTTCCTTTCACAGGACAGAAATGAACCTGTACATGGATGGTACTCCTATCCAATAGGACTGACTAACAAAAAAAAAAAAATTTAAGGTGAGATGCAATTAGCCTACACTCCTAGATAACCTACAGAAACAGTGCAGACTCTGGTTCCTTCCCCCAACAAACAGCCCCCATGGCTGCTGGCAGATCTGCTGACTGCATCTGGTCTCACATTTCCAGCTTCTTAGCTACTACCTTGATATCCCCTTCCCATGAGCTTCTACAGAATAAGAATGTCCTAGACTTCAGTGGGTTAATTTCCCAATTTATCTATAAGCAGAATGAGAACAAGGTCTGTCAATTTTAGCACACCTATAGCTTTGTCTGGAGGACTTTAACCATCACTAATTTTATAAGCATTCCTTGGAATGAAACAGGCAGTAGTGTTCTTGACTATTTAAGATAATAATAGATAAATGCAATATACCAGGAGAACTATAGCTAAACAGAAGTCTTCCAACATGGACACAGGCATATACGAATGTTCATATGCTTTCTGACCAGGGCACTGCTTATATTAACTGGCCAAGGACACTACCTTGAGTTGCTTAGTTATTGCTTCGATCAGTCCTAGAACCCATGTAAAAAAACACCAAAGGATTTTATTCACCTATTTTGCAGAAAGTTACATCCTGATTTAGTGCTCTGACACAGGAAAAAAGTATAAAACCAAATTCTTATCAATTTAATCCATATTTGTGAAGAAAAAGCAGTGTTAAAGGTACCTGAATTGACAAAACCAACGCAGCTCAAGAGATGAAGGTGACTAAAGGAAGGATCAGCCTGAAGAAGGGGGTGTAAGCTACATGTTGACAAGTGGGCGAGATTCACAAGTTTGACTTGCATTTTGAGGAGGATAACAGTTATTTAGTTATATCAGTTTAATGCTTTTCTGATTTGGGCTGGAAGAGTAAAAGCACAAAGCAGAAGCACTACAAACAGTTACGAACACACAGTAATCCCAGTGAGTATTAATATAAGTTCTATTAATAGGTCATAACCAACTCTATTAATAGCTTTGTGGTATCTAACTTCACTGTACTTCTTTCTGCAGTGCTACATGCACAAGCTGATTTCTTTAAAGAAACCTTCACAGACAGATTTTGTAAAGATTAACTTGTCAAAGACGGAACAAGCCAGATCAGAATATAAGCAAAACAAACGGGGGAGAAGAGAGGAGGAGTGAACTTCAGCATGAAAGTATTTGTGATTAGCAACTCTGCTTAACTCACCCGTTCCTCAGATTCTTCCAATACTGAATATATTGACCCAAGGTGGGAAGAGCTACATGTATAATACATGGCATTCTGCACAGATTCAGCAAGCAGACACACAGCAAGACTCTGCTCAAAAGACTATAGTTCACTCTTGACACCCTGAAAGCGGGCTGCGTACCAAGCAGTCTTCCCCCATTATTTTATTATTTGGGGCTTCACAGAACTTTTCAAGAGGAAATTTTAAAGAAAGTCATTGTTAATCCTTCCTTTCTATACAAGAATGAGCCACAATGAATTAATTTCAACCTAGTTTAACTATACTTGCCTTCATTAAGTCAGTGGTTAAACTTCAGCTTATCCAGCTCTATCCATTTCTGAACACCTATGTCTAACAGTTTAACGCAGCAAAATGGGAGGCCGAAAATAACTTTGTAGTGTTTGCTAGTTAAGAACAACAGTCTAATAATGGTCAGTTTAATAAAAAGACACAAGAAAAAAAACGTTCATTAGAATACAGATCTTACATTCACACAACAAGCAGTTTTGCTAAGAAAGTAATCAATATGCAACTTCCAGTCAAGTTCCATGCTAGCGGCAATGAGTGCGCATCAACCAGTGTTTTAAAGTGAAAATGGTGCCAAGTCAAAAGAAAACACATACAGAAATTATAAGACGTACCAGAAAACATCTAAGAATTTCGATGTCGTATTTATAGAAATAAAACGGTAGTTGTAACTAGGCGGAGGCTAGTTTATTCATAGCAACTAATAAACACTGAGTCATTATCTTAGTCATTGTCCTGTTAGTTCAGCATGTATTCTTTCCTCCACTTAGGACACAGCAGTTATTTTCAAAACAGACTAGATAAAGCATGCTTCTTCAAAGAAGTCAGCTACTTACCATGAAAGCTAAACTCTCCAGAATTAACAACATTCAGAGAACAGACAGTTTCTCTACAAGAAGAAAAGAGTTCTCACCTGAGTGCATATGTATAGCCAGTGTTCTCTGGCAGACATTGGGGAGGAGTGTACGTGTGTAGACGTGAAAAGTCCATGTTGACTGATTCAAATCATACTGTAAAAGGTGAAAATAAAGTAATGCAATGACTTATAATTACATAAAGTCAATGTAAGAGCCCTGGCACTGTTCAGCCTGTGTTATGAAGCATTGAAACAAAAAAGGTACCATTACCAGAAATATGGAGCTCTCGGTACTTCAGCAGTATTGCTGCTAGCGCTAGATATCCCTTATCATTACTGCATGAAGCTCAGTGTATTTCTGACCGCAACTTTCTTTATGATATTCTATTTTCAGCAATTTCCAAGTTCTCTGGAACATTACTGTAATATGAGCCAAGCTCTTATCACAACTACACTACAAGACTTTCACAGGAACTAAGTTATGCTAGCATCCCCAAAAGCTAAGCATAAAGATTTAAAAAAACTACGGAGCCATACTTTCAGAGATCTCTTCACAATGGATTTTGCTTTGAAAACCCATTCAGCAAAGCACAGGCTGTTCTGTGCACCAAAGCATAACACAGTTGAAACTCGAGAAAGTTTTTACATATAGTCAAATTGGTTTACTCTACAACCTTTGAACACCATCCACTAAGCAGCCAGGGAGCTTCCTTCATTTCACATCAAGTTGTAGTATTTGGTATTGGTTAATTTATTCTTGTCATAAAAACACTGAGTATACACCCTAGCGTAAGAGCCAACTGCAAAATGACTCACATGGCTAGAATTACGTACATTTTCCAGAGTGCCTTCTACTTCCAAAAAAAAAAAAAAAAAACAACCCAACCCTCACTTGTAAAATGTTTCATAGGATCTTTGAAAAGTATTACAGCTTTAGGAAGAAAATAAGAACTGGTGTTGTCGTATCAAGAAACTTGCAGAGCTGCACGGGTTACTACTCGTGGCATTATGTACGATTTGACTTTTAAGTTCAGAATATTTGCAAAAATACTTGAGCCCTTCTCAGTTTTATTAGCCACAAGAAAAGTTTTGCTTTTCTAGAAAAGATTCGTTGATAGCAGATTGTTCGTGGTTAACAAATAGGGATTTGGCCATCCTGAATTTGCATGGTTAGGCTATTTTCAGATTATCTATGGCTCCTGTTTCAGCAGCAGTAAAAGATATTCCACACAACTGTGTTGACATGCCTAAATTAAGGTAAAAATATCCCTAGCTACACTCTAGTTCTTGTAATCAAAACATCAACAAGTATCTCATTTTGGAGATGTACTTTGCTATGCTGAAATAAGAGTTTTCATTTCTATAGCATGCATACATAAGAAATAGACAAGAAGCACAGAGTTACAGGTACAGGTAATAGCAGTTCAAAAAGAAATCCCCACACATAACACTAAAATGTTCTTAGTCAGTCCGCCTGTAGCCTCCAAACCCTGATGTCAGTAAGGCAGGAGGATATTTCCATTATTACCAGAGTTTCCTTCCTATTTAAAAAAAAAAAAAATAAAAATAAAAAAAATCAAAACTTACAGCCTAAACATTGTAGCTTTCTGAAAGCAAGCACCTCCCATGAATTTATGGGGTTAATGAAAAATAAGGTCTCTCATTTCTGCTATTTATAATATTAAAAACCTGACGTGTAGAGAAAGCATTTCCATTAAGTGATCTTTCTCTCAACTTGCTTCACTTGTCCCAGAGCCATAATGCTTTCACTGGCTTGTATATAAAATTTGTTGTTTGTTTAGAGAAAGCTTAAATCAGTAGTGCGGAAGTATTAGCAAAGCAGTCTAATTCTCTTGCTAGAATAAGCAGCAAGTACTGCTAGAATGCACAACAACTGCTGCCATACTTTAACAACAAATAAGAGCTTGTTTTAGGATATAGGAAACAGGGATCAGAGAGCAATGATTCCTCAGTAATGAAAGTGGAAATACAGTGAATTTCAAGATGAGGGCTGTTGATAACAGCACATTGCACTCAAACAATAACAACACAGACTTCTCAGACATATGACTATTGAAATTCAAAGCCATGATTAAGGTTGATCCGTTTAAATCGGTCCATCCCAATAGAAAGAGTTTTGAAACCACGAGCCAGGGACGCCTCTGTTTAGTTTCCACTGGAGCTGATCTTGACTACTTAGCACACATCAGTTCACCAACAAATCTACCTTTTACTGGCAACTCGACAGCTGACATAATGCCTTTGACGCCCCGCTGTATTTTCCCACGTGGAAAGCTAGGCTATGGGAGCAAGCTTTTCAGTAGCTACCCAACGCCTCCCCCTGTCTCTGCTACCCATACGGGCAGGGCAAAGGCAGACTTCGAAAAATAACATACTGGCTCAGCTTCTTTCACGTTTTTTTGTTCCCCCCCTTTCCCACCAGTCTCTATTCACCTGATTTCTAAAGAATTAAAATGCTAGAATTTACATCATTTTCCTTATTTGCTAAGGTTTGAAATATATCATTAAGTTAGTATTAGATAAAAGACATACTTGACAATAGCATTGCTAACTGAAAAGCCCTGGAGGTATTTTTATGCGTAGGTCTATTAATAGCTGGTTTTCATAGCACCAAGATCTCCGGTAAAGATAACAGGTTTGCCATTTAAACTCCACATAGCTACAAACCACTCTTAGAAGATGTAGGGGCTTGGTTTGATTCACTGTTTGTCTGATGCTCCAAGATTAATTCAGACTCAACGGGAAAAACCTCTAGTCGATTTTCCAAAGCAACAAAGCAGCTTTAACTGACTTGAGCAGAACTTTAAAATAATCTTCAGAGATAACCACCACAATTTTAAAAAACAAGCCTCTAAAATTTACTATGAAACTGGACTTTTTTCTAAAACCTGGCTATTAGTTCAACAGCTTAACTTTAGCTATCCATTTCTTCAAAACAAACAATCAACTCAACTTATTTAGAAATATTCTACATACTTATTACAGCAGAACCTTAAACTACAGAACAGACCAGGGGTGGGTGGAGGACAACAGCTCCCACTAATTTGATCCCTCATGTTTAACAGCACTCCACCTTTCATATATTATTTCTTCTCATTTATAAAACTTTTGTATACAACTGGAAAAGAAAAAGATGTGCTAATAAAATATTTTGGAAATTTAAAATCACAAAACTTGGCAGAGAACCTGAGAGGTAGACATAATAACTTCGTTCCAGTTTAAACACTTGAGTGCCCAGCAGATTTCTGACTTAGGTACCATAGATCTGTCTGGACTCGGATTCACATAGGCTTTTGGTATCAGCTTTGCTGCAAGCATTAGTGGGCCCAAACTTTAAGTAGCCTTTTTTCCTTCCTCAAAAGCCCATAAGCATTTATTTCTAAGAGCTAAGGGAAGAACTCAGCATGTACTTGCATAAAAAACCACAAGTAATAAGAGTACATTTTTAAGGCAACCTAAAGACAATTAAAGAGAAGCACACATTTCAGCTAGAATGCAAGTGGACGCTACAATGTGCCTCACTTACAAACTAACTTCCAGATTCCAGCAGGAGACAGCTGGATTATTTGCTTCTTTGGGGAAGCAGATAACAATAATCATCTCAAGTATCACCTCTCCTTTGCAATTCAACTGAATCACTGTTACAATAAATCAGCAGAGTAGAAGGGCAGGGGAAGACACAGATTCTGACTTGGCCAGAACACGAGGAAGCACAGGGACTCCTGTAATCAGTGCAGCAGAAGTTACCTTTGCGCAAAGCCCCTTGGCTGCCTCCAGAGGATGTGGACTACGAAGCATCTGAGTGAGATGAGACCGCACCACTACGCCACAAGCCTGTTTATCCAAAAATGGCTTTCAGAATCAGTCAGCCTAAACAAAACCCTAGTACTGCTGCAGCAAACTTTCTGGCTTTCATGGAAGGTGATGGGATGCTTAAGCACAGAAGCAGCACAAGAGGGGAAGCAGCACCAAATAGTCATTGTATAGACACTACAAGCACGTGGCAAGGACAAGGATGAACCCTCATCTACATCTTTTTGGGCACATAATAGACTTCCACCAACATACTATCTAGGCATTTCCTTACTAACATCCTTTGTGACAAAGGAAGTGGTAAATTGATGTTTCACAAACGGGACTTTGACAGGGTAGAAATATTCATCAGGAAGTCTGTTATAGAGTGAGAAAATTTACAAGAAAGCATGTCAGTTTTTTTACCTCTTGTAATGTAAAAAAATACATCTAAAGTCTTGGAGAAATGCTGGTAGTACTACTTCAGGTAGAACCTATTCTATCCTTACTTTTTAAAGCAAACAAACTAAGTTTAAGTCATTATGATTTAACATAGTAATGCTACAAAAGCTAAACAGACTTTTGGTCAAATTATTAATAACAATGAAACTGGAGTATGCAACCCTATCAGTTCCTGAGAGCAAGCCATTTTTTACTAGTATTTTCAATTTTTATTTTCTACTATTATTTGGAATAACCAATAAAATTACTCTTTTTGGTAAAAAAAAGGCAAACTCCTAAGTAAATAGACTCCACAAAGAATGTTTCCACATATCCAATTAACTATGAGTTTAAACAGGCTGAAGAGCAAAGAGCTCCAAGCTAACGCAACATTTTATTGAAACACACATTCTTAAAATGTATTCCTTTTAAACAAAAACACAAAAGCAAACAAACGCCAAGTAATAAAATTCACATTCTAAACTAGATGTTACCATCGAGTACTATGGCAAAGATCCCCAAACACAGGTGCCAAACTGCAACGCTACTAACAAAAAGAGAAAAAGAGGTTCATCCCAAAGCAGTAATATTGCATATTAAGTACCCATTCAAATGTTTTTTAAAAGGCAGGTTGATAGAAACTAGCTATACATTCAGCTACGGTGAAACAATAAACACGTCTGTTCACTGTTTACACACGCAGCCCCTGAAACATGGCACGGCAACACACCGAACCGTTTTATAAGCTAGGAAGCTCCAGGCCGCCTCAGCATTAAACGCATACAAAGACTTCAGTGCCCAAGCCTCACCAGGCCTCTG